TTATATGAGTCAATTATCGTACTTCACTGTGATAATTTAAAAGAAGTTGAGTTTCTTCTGGTAGCTGCCCCCCCCCCCTCCCCCCGCCCCAATGTATACAACTTTAGAACAAAATGTTGTTGCCAGGAATCAGGATACTGCTTTGCTTGGATGCATGCATAAATTAACACAGACAACGATTAATATTTTAAACAATTTATTTCTAAAGTATAACAATTTTAAGCGTGGGAGTTTAGTGTTCCCCAGGGTTCCCTTGTGATATTATACAAATCGTTCATTCAGCCATATTTTGATTTTGCTCACCCTTACGGGATACCTGTGATAAAATATTAAAAGATAAATTGCAAATATTACAAAATCGTGCTGCCAGAGTTATTACTGGAGACAGATATGAAGACAGGATTAGATCAAGTGATCTTTTGCAAAGCTTAGAGTGGGATACCCTACATGTTAGGCGGGCTAAGTTAAAGAATGTCTTGCTGTATAAAATTCTCAATGAAAATTGTTCGCCATCTCTAAGAGAAAGCTTCTTAAGTCTCAGAGACCTCAATGAAGGCTATAAATCACGAAACCGAGAAACAGATCTAGCACTTCCAAAACCAAAAACTAATTTTTTGAAGCGAAGCTTTAAATATAGTGCATCAATGTTGTGGAATAATCTTCCTTTCCTTCGCCTCGCGCCGTTCTAAGAAAGACCCTGTGACCGAGGTTGATTACACGTATGCAATATGATCAGTATACTCGAAAGATGCTATATGTCGTATATGTCTATTTTTTGAAAGTTTCATAGAACAGTGTTCACCTCAATAGCACCAGGACAAACGCAAACAATAAACTGGCTATTACAATGCACCCTTCAAAGCCCAGTCGTTGATAAAGGTAGGCTAAGGACACACAAATTAACAAGAGCATAAAAAAGTTCCCCCTTGTTGGATATATAATGTATGCCCGAATAACTGAGACTATATACCGGAGATGAACTTCCTGTGTTTGGTTATGGATGCCAATACGAGACAGCTCCCAAGCAACAAACAGGTTGGTGAAGAACATCGGGTTTAACAGCTGAGCAAAAGGGTAGTCAAGCATTGTAAACACAATTGATAGTATCACTGCACTGTAGAAGACGGTGTTTCGCATTCGAGGTAATGCCATGATCTTAACAAATGTGTAGGTGCGAGAACTGGAGAGTTGAAAGGCAATATCTACTGCATACTCCTGACAACTATTACCAGACACCATCGGCTCGGCATCCACAAGATCTCTGGTTTTCGTTTCTCTCTGCTTTTGAGTGACAAAACCGAC